TGTCATAGCCTTTCATTGTATGTCATAGCTTTCATTGTTATGTCATCCACATGACTTAACCTTTCACTGCTATGTCATAGCCTTTCATTGCTATGTCATCCAAGCAACTTAACCTTTCACTGCTATTGTCATAGCCTTTCATTGCTATTGTCATCCACGAAACCTTAACCTTTCACTGCTATTGTCATAGCCTTTCATTGTTATTGTCATCCATGCAACCTTAACCTTTCACTGCTATTGTCATAGCCTTTCATTGCTATTGTCATCCATGCAACCACAACCTTTCACTGCTATTGTCATAGCCTTTCATTGTTATTGTCATCCAGGCAACCTTAACCTTTCACTGCTATTGTCATAGCCTTTCATTGCTATTGTCATCCATGCAACCTTAACCTTTCACTGCTATTGTCATAGCCTTTCATTGTTATTGTCATCCATGCAACCTTAACCTTTCACTGCTATTGTCATAGCCTTTCATTGCTATTGTCATCCACGCAACCTTAACCTTTCACTGCTATTGTCATAGCCTTTCATTGTTATTGTCATCCATGTAACCTTAACCTTTCATTGCTATTGTCATAGCCTTTCATTGTTATTGTCATCCAGGCAACCTTAACCTTTCACTGCTATTGTCATAGCCTTTCATTGCTATTGTCATCCATGCAACCTTAACCTTTCATTGCTATTGTCATAGCCTTTCATTGTTATTGTCATCCAGGCAACCTTAACCTTTCACTGCTATTGTCATCCTTATGAAATATATATGTTGTGAATGAGGTCTACCTCATTTTTAGACACCCCCCTCTTCCTTCCCTCCACCATGGCATTTGTTTTCTAAAATGGCTACAAAAAAATATGCATGACAATCTAAAGTGATCGTTGCATCATTAAATCTTTTATATTGTCAACTTTTGTAACTTTTTCAAAATAAATTCTTTGATCATGCAGGTAATGGACAATTATATGTCCATTTCGTCAAAAAATAACAAAAATGAAAATTACATAAAAATTTTGGTGCAATTAAATAAATTAGTGTGAAATCTTATTGGAAATACTACATGTGTGTCCATACTGTAACTGACTTTAACAACAAGTCAAATTTTGCTCAACTGAGCATGTTACTGCACATATATGCAAAGCATTATGGGAGATAACTTCAAATTTTGCTCAACTGAGCATGTTACTGCACATATATGCAAAGCATTATGGGAGATAACTTCAAATTTTGCTCAACTGAGCATGTTACTGCACATATATGCAAAGCATTATGGGAGATAACTTCAAATTTTCCTCAACTGAGCATGTTATTGCACATATATGCAAAGCACTTTACGTGATGAAAATGTATTACTAGTATTACACTAGATACTTGCCTAATTAAATGTATTTTTTTTTTATTGTTTTACAATATTATAATTCATAATACATGTAGTAATATATGACTTTTTTATCCCATGTCAAATGCATTACATGATTGTGGTCTTTTAGTGATTTGACATGTATCAGTGAATTCTAAAGAAGTTAACTGCAAATACATTGGGAAATAATTTTGACACCAGAAGAGTTATAAATACGCCTGTCATAGTTCTAATTTTTTATTTCTGATTCATTTGTCCAACTCAAACCAGAAGGTGATGACATAAATCGAATCAATCTTATTGTTTTATTCTACGTTATACTGCAAATGTTTTTATTTGGGTTACCGGTATTATACACACAATGTACTAGTATATGCTA